TCCACACGGGGGAACTGTCGAGCTGTTTCCACTGAGCTCTCAGCTCTGAGAGAAAGACATGTCTCTTTACCCTTGTATTCCTTCTGAGTGACAATACATCTATAATGAATCTCGCTATTTCTTCCAAAAGTAATAATATAGTTACAATTTGTATATCATTATAGACAAATGTTTATTTCATGTGATTGTAATTAATATGATTACATATGACAAATAAACTTGACTGATTGATTTTTCCACACTCAGACCAACACACCTAGAGCTAGGCTGGATTCTCCTACCAATAATCTGTCACATCAAGTGACATTTTCTAAATTATTAATAGGCAAATAACATGCTTGATTAAACAAATAAAATAAATACTCAATCATATGAAGTCAGTCAACATTGGAGTGTATTGTAAAATAACTTGAATTAAGCTTTATATTGTATTGTATTGTACTCTATTGTATTATATGGTTTTCTAACTGTTCACCAGAGTCTTGCTTTAGCCTGTGTTCCTTATGTAGTGTGCCATGGTGTACACAATGGTTTTACCCTGATTTACTTGTGCAAATACACTCACACTTAGCACAGATTGCTGTGACTGACAGTTGTACACATATAGGTAGGCTACACCCCCACTATTCCCATAGCAGAGGACAACTGGAGCAGAGCTGAACCTAGTACATCCACATTCCTAACTGTTGCACAATCCATCCCGAGACAGTACAGAAGGGAGGGAAGTGTTGCCACGCAGCCACTAGATGGCAGTATAGGATTATACTGCAGCTATGCAGCGACTGATGTAAAAATGTAAAAAAGTAAAAAACCCTTGGCTTCAGTCCCTTATGTGGAGCATTTCTAGGGCACACAGGGAAGGGATTGACAGCTGGAGCTAAACTCATTTAGACAGAGTGGATTGTAATAAATGTGAAAACCTCACAAGAGTAAATTTTAGTTCTCAGTCACATCCACCTGCATTATCTGCGAATGCCTCTTCTGGGAAAAAAACGTAATCAGCACTTTGCTCACAGGCCCACATGGTAGCTTTTTTCCAAAACACAGCGACAAAACTGTGCGATGTTATGGAGACAGATGGGTCCAGTCTCCAGTGAACTGTCAACCACTACAGGACAAAATCTCAGCAGCGCTGTGGAGAGTAATCTGACCAAGTTTTTATTGCTACTGTTGACTGAGTCAGGCCTTTCTTATTAAAGCAAGAGTGTGCACTGTACATGCTTGTGTGTGTGTGTGTGTGTGTGTGTGTGTGTGGAGAGACATGAAATGCCTGTGTGTCCTTTATACAATGTGTGTTGTGGAGTCTTGCTTTGCGTTGGAGAGAGAGAAGAGATTCTGGCCGTTTACTAGAGAGTAGAGAGAGAGAGAGAGAGAGAGAGAAGAGAGAGGAGTGGTTGGGGGTCTTCTCTTTCTCCGTAACATCTTTTCCATGTGTCTCTGTACCTCACTTTGTTCCATTTATAACCTCTATTGTCCCCCCCTTTGTGTCTTTTCATAACCCTCTTTATTAACAGGCCATTATGAGTTCTCCTTTTTTCTGACAGCCTACACTTATTCCTCTAACTCCATTAACTCTTCCTCCTTCCCTGTACTGTTTCTTTCACTCTTCCTTTAATGCTTCCTTCTTTCTTTTCTTTCTAACAATTGTATTTCACTCTACATGACACAGGGAAAAGGAACAACTAAATATCTTGCCTTCCTTGTTAAACTGAACACAAAAAAGCAGAATGTCTGATTAAATCTCACACTCATTCCGGTTACATTACCCATGAATGTAAACTATCCCTTCCACTCCCCTCCCTCACCCATTAAATCCCTCTCTCTTTTTTCTGTATCTCTCTTATTAAATGCTACTTCCTTTTGCTGTGCTTGTCCTCTTTTGCTCCCGTTCCTCTTTCAGCTTTATTCGCCTCATTTGTAGTCCTATCAAGGGGGCTCACAAGGGCACCACAGCTGTGTCAGAAAAGTTTATTTATGTAGCACGTCTCATTATAGGCAAACACAATGTGCTTCATATTAAAATACAACAAGTAAAATGCAACAGTATGCAGGCTGATCTGTGAAGCTGTATTTGTGAGGAAGAGCGGTGCTTGTTCACCATGTTAGTGTATCATGTTCAGATGCTATAGATTTGCTTGAATGACTAAACATCAAGTAACAGCTGACGGCTGATGGGAATGTCATTAATAGGTGATTGTTATAAATCAAAGTACTGGACAAATTACAAGTGTGACCTGGTGATGGCACTAAATGCAAAGTTAAGGGATTACTGAAGTTATTACAATTCATCCATGAAGATATGTACCAAATTACATAGCAACACATCCAATAGTTGTCAGGAGTTGTCACTAAAAACTAAAACATTAACCTGCTGGTAGCGCTGCAGGAAACGTCCTGTGGGAACCATGAATTTCAGTATATGCATTTACTGTGCATTAGTGAAAGCTCTGACCTGCTGGTGGTGTATGAGGAAAACTCAGAGAATCGTCTAAGTCTTTAGGGTTCATTGTCCGGGGATCATGGATGTGTAAACCAAATTCTATGACAAACTATCCATAGTTGTCAAAACATGTCAATAAAACCCCCACAAATGTCCATCAAATGGTGGCACTACAGGAATAGACTTCATTTGTTTAACAGACAAGGGAATGGGCAGCCTCAGCCCTCTTATATATATATAACTATGACCATGGAGATGATGGACCCTGGATCTTCAAATGCAAAAATCACTAGAAAAAAAGCTCTGACTAGACTGTATGTAGTGGGAAGCCAAACAATTAAGTAGAAATATGAAGTTGATTCTGAGAAGAAAGTAAAAAGAGCTTGTTCAACTACATTTACTCCTGTTACAGAGCCTAATCCTACATTTACACTGACCAATGGGAACTGGACACCTGTTGGAATGAGAGAGCAGGAGGTAGAGGAAAATACAAAGGAGGAAAGAAGGAGTGTTTTAACTGGAACAGAGAGACCTAGAGAGAGAATGTAGTTGTAAAAAGGGAGAACAGGAGGAAACAGAGAGAGGGCTGCAGGGAGGGAGGAGGCGGCCTATTGACACTGCAGGTGCCTGCACTTCAAACATAATGTTCAACACAACAGTGTTTGACTAAAAAGATTATTCACGTGTGTGTATACATATGAGAGATAGTGTGTGTGTGTGCATTTTATTAAGCACCAGAGAAACACAATATTCCTGCTTATGCATGTGTGCTGCTCTGTTGAAAGAATGCATATGCATGTGTCCATCTTGTATTTGTTTGTTGTTATTTGAGAGGTTGTTGGTTGTGTGTGTGTTTGTGTGTGGTGGTTTAAGATCAGATTAATCAACAAGTCTCTGGACTCAGTTACAGGCTGGATTTACACAGAGACACAGACACACAGCTCAGATATACAACACAAACACACACACACAACTCAATGCCAATCTGTCTAGCTGCTGAATTGTTAAACAATCTATCTCCCACAGGATATGTGCACCTCCTGGGGGTCATGTAACCCTGACACCAGCAGTTTCTAGACACAAATAGGGAATCATGTGTTCATAGATTATTTCAGGTTTATATTCTTGTCGATTCTCTTTGGATTTTACCTTCCTCGCTATGGTTCTGGTCAAGGAAAAACACACGGCCAGTCAGTCAGTCAGTCAGTCAGTCAGTCAGTAGTAGAGCTGCAGCATAGCAGACATTCCTGCTGGGTGTAGTTAGGGAGTTGGAGAATAGCAACGGTTGCCAAAAAATCTGTTGCTGCGTAACGTTTATTTTTTATTTTTTATGAGAAGTCCAAGTTGTAATGTTGCTTGGCAGCGGGATTTGGATGGGATTGGACTTCAACTGTGCAGCCTCCTTTGCTCTCACGCTTCTTAAAACATGATACGATGCCCCTGAGCTGGAGGGGAAAGTTACCTGATGACTTTCAGTGGCTTCAATTACCTTCTTTTAAATTATTTCCTGTTTACCTAATGCAGATTTAATATAATTATTTGTAAAATATATCTTTAATCTCACAATCTGACTGCCAGCACCCAACCACTTATCCCCTATTGCTTCAAAATTACGTTCAGGCTGATTACTGTGTAGTTCCAATGATGGTGATAACTGTTGGCATGTTTTTAATAACATTATTGCAATTTAAAGAATTAAAACAGAGATACAGTTTTATTTAACGTATCCCAACATTTTTGGTTTGTGGCCCCTCTTGCCAAGAGAGATGAGAACACTGATACTGCTTTCATGACGATACTGTAAATATGAAGCTATAGCCTGGACACAGTTAGCTTAGCTTATTGTGCTGGGTGTCGGTGGGTGGATTATTATACTGTTATAGACATAATGGGAAGTAATTGTCTGTGAAGGCAGTTGTATAAAGTCCTCTGTGGCTCCAGAGCAGCTTTCTATAGTTTAAGAAATAATGACCCCAATGTCACCAGGGTTATCGTGGCTTAAGGCTTAGAAACTACATTTTATTAACAGAAAGCCTATTGTACAACGTTGTGCAAGACATGTGGCATTTATGTTTAATGAAAGACACCTTAGAGATGCATCATGGGAAGTGTAGGATCCAGCCTTTTTTGGTACTTGACTTCATACAAGGCACCAACAGCCTCTGCAGCTTTGATTTTTACAATTCTTTGTTTAATCTGCCTCTCACAAGTTGGCCAACTTTATGAAGGCTCGATACTAAATGACTGGAGGACCCCTTTAAGTGCTAGCAGACTGACTGCATTTGGAGAGATTTGGAGAAGTGATGAAGTTAACAAAAAAGGTGTGTAAACTTGTTGCAATGGTCAGCATAAATAGGGTATAATGAAAAACCTGTGTAATTTCAGAAAGAGAAGATACACACGGTCATGTTCATTTTACCGTATGGATACTGTAGATTTTAGGAGACATGCAGACAGTGTGGCAGACAGAGAAATTAAAACACACCCCTTTTACCCAAATTCTGACTCCCCCTCCCCTCTCCCTTTGCTCATTCACTCAGCGCTATCTGACGCTGTCCTTCTCCCTCACACTCTCCTCTCGGAATCCTCTCTTTTTTTCCACAGAAAACATGCAGAGAGGAGAGGAGGAGGAGAAAAGTAGAAACGCGTCGGAGGCGAGAAGAGAGAGAGGAAGCAGAGAAAGTTGGTAGAGGAGCGAGAGGGCGAGAGGAGAGGAGAGGTCGACCAGATGGGAGGAAGGAAGGAAAGGATCTCTCTGCGGGCTTAAGTGCGCGATTAAAGGATTCATCATAAATAAACAAATATATGAATCAAAGCCTATAATAAAAAAGGGGAGTTATAGGCGCGCTACCGCGTAGCGTGGACGCGGACAAGCCAGACAGCGGCGGTGCGCGCTGAAACAGCCAAGTTGTGTTTCTCTCTCTGGATTTTACTCCTCATGTTCTTCAAACTCTCGGTGAGGTTCACTAACTTTTAAGGACAGCGTCTGAAAAACTTCCCCTCCCCTCGGCCCTCCAAATAACGCTCTCTCCCCGGGGAAAAAAACTGAGTAAAAGAAGCTCCGGGGTGGAAGTGGAGGAAGGAAGAGCGTTTTTGTTCCTTCCGAGGAGTCCAGCTCGCCGTAGCCGGGGTTTAGGCGTTGGCACCCGGGCAGGGAGTCCCTCGCCATGGCCGGGGCCAAGCCGGGAGTCCACGCGCTGCAGCTCAAACCCGTGTCCGTCCACGAAGCGCTGAAGAAGGGGGGCAAATTCATCAAATGGGACGAGGTGAGAGTGACATGTTTTGAAGTGTGTTGTTTTATTCCCAGGTGGCACTTTCGCTACGGTGGAATGAATCAGATTGCTTCCTGATCAAGAAGTGCTCCTGATGTGATCAACTGTGAGAGAAAGACAGGAGACATGACAGCCCTGCTCTTTGACAGTAGGCCCACTGTTGTGAGGTGACACACGACACTGAGTGTGTGTGTGTTAGACATGCACAGACACGGATCGTGTGTGTAGGTAGGGTGCAGGTGTGTGTAACCTCTTGGTCCTGCGCTGAACACAGAAGCCCACTATGTTTGCGAGTGAGTGTGTGTGTGTGTTAATCAGATACTCCAGCAGAAAATTCCCCTGTAGTTGCCAACAGGCAGCGGTGCTTTAATGTGTGTGTTGTGTTGTGTTGAATTCTCGTCGAGCCGGTTTTTCTCGGGCTCAGGTTCAGTTCAGACGCCCTCTAACACGCTCTTTTCTCTTCCTTTTTGTCCTATTTCTCTCTGTCTGTACTTTCCACCCTGCTCCCCCAGCGGGTTAAGAGGAGGAGAGCACCTGTCTGAATGGGGCTCTGTAGAAGTTTTTTAGAATTTAATTAAACTTAAGTGTGTGTATTCCTCTGACTCTTTAAATCATGTCAACACAAAAGGTTTGAAATGATTTTCCCTGCTCTACTTTTCTTTCCGCGTATTTCTGCAGCAGCATGTCTGGCAGCCCTGACATGCGCTTGGCAGCCCTGACATGCGCCTGCCTGTGTCATTGACCGTAGTGTGTGTGTGTGTGTGTGTGTGTGTTGGAGTTTTCTGAGACAGAGTGCAGGACCATTCTGCAATCTTGTCCATAGAGAAAGTAGGCGTGTGTGTCCATGTGTCTGAGTGGCCATCAATGATTAACTAAGTTGCTGGCTGATCTGGCCCTGAACTGTAGACCTGTGTCTTCCATTTGGAAACCCCTGTCTTGGATTTACAATAGGGTTGCATGCAAGTGTGTGTGTGTGTGTGTGTGTGTGTGTGTGTGTGTGTGGTGTGTGTTGTGTGAGAGTCCGATAGTCCCCAATGAGCCTTGTTATCATACATGGCCTTGCAATAGAAGGTCACTGCACA